AGCACAATAACCCTACCCAACATTCATCTAATCACTTGCCTAAATTTGATTTCCCAAAGTTTGATGGTGAGAATCCTCGCCTCTAGTGTACTCGTTGTGAGAACTATTTCTCGATGTATTCTACTAAGCCATCTATGTGGGTGCATGTAGCGACTATGCATGGATGGTCAATTTGCAGACCTTATGGTTACGATCGAGTTGAGCCCTAGTTAGCCACGGCAACCTAGGAGCAGTTTTGCATCATGATCCATGATCGTTTCGACCGTGATCAGCATGAACTTCTTGTTCATCAGATGCTTCATATTCATCAAACCTCCACTGCCTCTAAATACATCACTCGTTTCACATCTCTTACTGATCAGCTCCTCGCTTATAACAAAGCCATAGACCTTGTCTATTTCGTTACCCGCTTTGTTGATGGGTTGAAGCGAGTTGCGTTCAATTACGCTTGTTCGGTGCCCCAAAACTCGGATCTTGCTTGTACCTTGGCATTGTTGGAGGAGGAAGTGGTGGAAATTCGAGGTGACAAGATCGGTCTTGTACCATTTGCCAAGATTCCCATGATCGCTCTTCCTCTTCCACCTCCACCCAAGGTAGTCAAGCAAGCCCTTGCTCTGGAGAGTGGTACATCTTCCATGGATTCCAAGTTGGGTGCCGTCAAAGCTTATGGGGAAGGCAATGGGACTATGTTACAAGTGTGGTCTCAAGTGGTCCAAGGATCATAGGTGTGCACCCGAGGTATTACATGCTATTCATGATATCTAGGAATCTATGTCTGCTGATGATTGCAGTTCACCCATGGACTCTGATTCACATCAGTCAAAGCAGCTATTTTTAGCTTTATCCAAGATTGTAGTCAGTGGTGCTCCTGCCCCAAGAACTATTCAGTTCAAAGGAACTTTGGAGGGTTTACCATTAACCATTCTTATTGACTCTTGTAGTTCTTCTTCCTTTGTCAGTGATCATATTGTCAGGCGGTTGAGCTCATGAGACACTTACTACTCATCCAACATCCTGTTCATGTAGGTGGTGGTGAAATCCTTATTAGTCAAGGCATTTTGCACAATGTTACTTGGAATATTGACTCATGCGACTTTTGTATCTGATCTGAAGATATTACCTCTTACACATTTTGACCTCATCATTGGAATGGATTGGCTAGAGAGATTTAGTCCTTATGCAAATTCATTGGAAATCTAAGTGGTTGTAGTTTCCTTATGAGGGTGCTATGGTCAGATTACAAGGATTGGTTTCTGAGGAATCTGAAACCATGTTGTTATAGTTCTATTGTGCTTCTGAGGAATCTGACTTGCCCAATTTATCTGAGTTATCTTCAGATTTGCAGGAGTTGATCCACCAGCTTGCACATCTATTTTCTGCACCTACTGGTTTACCTCCACACAGAGCTTGCAACCATGTGATACCATTACTGCCTGGTGCTAACCCTATCACCATCAGATCTTATAGGTATTCTTCAAAGTTGAAAGATGAATTGGAAAAGCAAGTGACAGATATGCTACAGCAAGGTATTATACAACCTAGTGCAAGCATGTTTTCTTCACCTGTTCTATTGGTACCAAAGAAAGATGGTGGCTATAGAATGTGTGTGGATTACAGGCAGCTTGATGCAATCACTATGAAATCTAAATTTCCAGTCCCTATTTTTGATGAATTGATGGATGAACTGTCTCAAGCTAAGTGGTTTTCAACATTGGACCTAAGAGCTGGATATCATCAGATTCTTCTGGAACGAAGAGAAGAACCCAAAACAACTTTTCAAACTCACTTGGGACAGTATGAGTTCAAGGTTATGGCCTTTTGTCTTACTGGTGCTCCTGGTACATTTCAAGGAGCTATGAATTGCACTCTTGCACCAGGACTCAGGAAATTTGTGATAGTACTTTCTAATGATATTTTGGTGTACAACAAGACCAAAGAAGAGCATCTCATTCATCTGCAGCAGGTGTTTCAGTGGCTCACAAAAGATCAGTGGAAGCTTAAATTTTCCAAATGTAAGTTTGCACAGCAATCAATTTCTTACTTGGGACGTGTTATTAGTGCTTAGGGCATTTCTATGGATCCCACTAAAATTCAAGCAATTCAAGAGTGGCCAACTCCCAACAATGTTAAAGATGTTAGAGGATTTCTAGGATTAGCTAGGTATTACAGGAAGTTTGTTAAACACTTTGGGATGATAGCTAAGCCATTGACTCAGCTTTTGTGCAAAGATACCCTATTCCATTAGACAACAGTTCATGATGAAGCTTTCAATTTGCTCAAGCAAGCTTTGACATCAGCCCCTTGTTTGGCAATACCTAATTTTGATATGCCATTTCACATTGAGACTGATGCCTGTGCCAAAGGAGTTGGTGTTGTCCTTGTTCAAAGTCGTCATCCTCTAGCATATATCAGTAAAGCTCTTGGCCCCAAGAATCAAGGTCTATCTACATATAAAAAGGAGTATATGGCTATTCTAGTAGCAGTTGACCAATGGAGACATTATCTGCAGCATTCAGAGTTCTTCATACATACTGATCAGAAGAGCCTCATACATCTCAATGAGTAGAGACTACATACTTATTGGCAACAAAAAGTATTCACTAAGCTCTTGGGATTATAGTACAAAGTGGTTTACAAGAAAGGCACAGAGAACAATGCTGTTGATGCCCTGTCAAGGTGCCCCAATTAGTCTCAGCTATATTCTGTAAGCACATCCAACCTCAATGGTTGATTGATATTCAACAGGCTTATGCTTCTGACCCTCAGGCCACCCAATTGCTCTCTCAGTTGGCAGTCTCTCCTTCTTCAGTGCCAAAGTATACATTAACTCATGGTATTATCAGATTCAAAGGCAAGATCTAGTTAGGCTCAAGTGTTGAGCTTCATTCAAAAGTCTTTTCAGCTTTACACAGTAGTGCCTTGGGGGGGTCATTCAGGTGCACCAGCTACCTTACAACGCATCAGTAGTATGTTTTATTGGCCAACCATGAAATCTGATGTGCTTTCAATGGTGCAGCAGTGTGTTATTTGTCGGAAAGCAAAACCTGATAGATCTAGGTATCCAGGCCTCTTACAGCCCTTGCCAGTTCTTACATCATCTTGAGATGTTATCTCCATGGATTTTGTAGAGGGCCTTCCACATTCTGGCAATGCAAATGCAATTTTGGTGGTCATTGATAAATTCACTAAGTTTGCACATTTCATTCCATTGAAGCATCCTTATACTGCAAGTTCTGTTGCTAAGCTATTCATGGAGAATGTGTATAAATTGCATGGGTTACCATCAGCTATCATTTCTGGCCATGATAAAATTTTCACAAGCAACTTCTGGAAGCAATTGTTTCAATTGGCTGGCACTGAATTGAGGCTGAGCATTGCTTATCATCTTCAGACTGATGGCCAAACAGAAAGGCTGAATCAGTGCTTGGAAACTTATTTACGTTGCTTTGTGCATGCTTGTCCTTCGAAGTGGAGCAATTGGCTGTCTCTTGTTGAATATTGGTATAATACCAGTCACCATTCTGCTCTTGGCCAATCCCCCTTTGAGGTCTTATATGGTTATGTGCCAAAGCACTTTGGGCTGTCAGTTGATGATGCTATGCCTGACAGTCCAGAACTAAGCAGTTGGTTATCTGACAGAGCTCTTATGCAAGACTTAGTTCGTCAGCATCTCTTGAGAGCTCAATTGCGTATGAAGAAGCAATCTGATAAGAAACGTTCTGAGCGAAGTTTCGAAGTTGGTGACTGGGTATTCTTTAAACTACAGCCATATGTTTAGTCATCACTAGCAAGAAGATCAAGTCAGAAGCTTGTATTTCGATTCTTTGGGCCATATAGAGTGGAAGCCAAAGTGGGAGCAGTGGCATATAAGCTGTCGTTGCCACCATCATCTGCCATACATACAGTTTTCCATGTCTCACGGTTGAAGCGCTCTCATGGTGATCAACCATTAACTGATGTTTTGCCTTCAGATACTCTCCAGTTTCAGCTGCCTCATCGAGTATTACAACACCGTTGGACATCTGGTGATCATCCTGTTGAAGAAGTCTTGATCCAGTGGTCTCAGATGCCACCTTCCCTGGCTACTTGGGAACCTCTTGAACACCTACGCCAGCAATTCCCTTGAGCACCGGCATGGGGACATGCCAGTTCACAAGAAGGGGGGAATGTCAGCACTGTTGGTCATCCGACAACACAACAGAGCACTGACATCCAAAGCCTTCCTTCTTCAGCACGGCCCAAGAGAAGCGCAAGCCCAGCTCGTTGATTAGTGGCCAGAGTGGCTTTGCCTGTAAGGAAGATAGTATAAAGCACGAGAGAGGGAACTGAGCGCGGGTGAACCCCTTTGTAACAGAATTCTGAATTCATTTACAAGCACTCGTCGTTAATAACTTATAGTTATTTGCCTTCCGATCTTGTTTGCCTGTTATTCTTTCTTCTTCCCCAATCCACTGCTAACGGTGTAGCAGAAGTGGATTGAGTCCTCTCGATATAGTGTAGTTGCTCTAACCTAATGTTAATTTACGAGCGCTTAATTCTCACACAAATAATGTGAAAACCTCCGTAATTCTCGCACAACATGTTTGGACGTTTGGTTAGTTGAAATCCAACTTCAATCGTTTGGCAACTCTGTTTGGTTGCAGGTGAGGTCGTGACTCGTGAAGGTGAAGTGGAAAGCCCGTGGATGTTCGGTCTGTTCGCTGGTTAGTTTCTGAACTGATAAGCTCGACTGATACTGATTTATTGTGATAAAAAAATACTGTTCACTGACAGCCTGGTTGACGATTCAAGAGGTGGCTTGCAGCACCGGTAAATCTACCGGTCTACCGTCCATCACCGATCCGACGTCTCATCATTTTCAACGAACAGGTCGTTCACCTCTCGCATCGCACACGATATAAACCGTTTCTTCACTGCCGAGTGCCGACTCCTCCATACTGCTACTTCACGATCTGGTCCAAAGCCCCAACTGAAATTTACATCCAGGCCCTTCGCCGGAGATGGCGTCGGCGCTGACGTACCGTGGTGGCAGCGCGGCGCCAGGCTCCGCCTCCAACGGCGGGGAGTGCACCCCGAAGCCCTCCAAGCCGCTCTCCTGGCTCTCCCGCGCCGCGCGCTACGCCGCCGCCGAGCACCGCCCCGTCTTCGCCCTCGCCGGCATGCTCTTCGCTGCCGCCCTCTTCACTTTTCTCCTCCCACTCCACTTCGTCGCCGTCCGAGCCCGCCGCGTCGGTCGGATTCAACCACCTTGCCGTCACCGGACACCCGTCCTTCCGCGAGTCCGTCGGCGGCAAGGTGCCCCTGGGCTGCGTCGGCGCGCGCTGCGGGTGCTCGTGACGGGCGGCGCCGGGTTCGTGGGGAGCCACCTGGTGGACCGGCTGGTGGAGCGCGGCGACAGCGTGATCGTGGTGGACAACTTCTTCACGGGGCGGAAGGGCAACGTGGCGCGCCATCTCCAGAACCCAGGGTCGAGGTGATCCGCCACGACGTCGTCGAGCCCATACTGCTCGAGGTCGACCAGATCTACCACCTTGCCTGCCCAGCCAGCCCCGTGCACTACAAGTACAACCCCATCAAGACCATCATATCCTCACTTGCTTCATCTGAATCTGAATGGCTATTATTTTAATGATTGATGGCTGTGAAGAAGTTGTCATAAAGAAAAGCTAACACAAAACAAAATTAAAGCATTTTTTTATTAATGAAAATACTTCTGTTTTAATGATAGGTGTCCGGAGCTGCTATGATGAGGGCAAGCGTACAGCTGAAACATTAACCATGGACTACCATCGTGGTGCCAACCTTGAGGTTTTATGCCATCCAAATGCTTGATATCAATAGCATTCAGATTAATTTTGTGGGCTACAGTACAAATATGTTAGCTTGTTTTTTTTATTTAGGTAAGGATTGCCCGGATCTTTAACACATGGTCCTCGCATGTGCATTGATGATGGCCGTGTTGTCAGTAATTTTGTTGCTCAGGTAGCCACCAGTTGCAGCCTCTTCTTTGAACACCTTAATGCATATGCACTTTGTATTTTGGTAATAAGATGCTCATCACGAATTATGTCATCATGAATTATGTTATTCAGGCGCTGAGGAAGGAGCCTTTGACAGTCTATGGTGATGGCAAGCAGACTAGGAGCTTTCAATATGTCTCAGATTTGGTGGGTCCCTCTATCACTCTTAAAGGGGCATTTGAACAAACCTGCCAATACCAAATGCCCTGACATATACAATATGCGTCATATGAGTGCTTAATCTTATTTGCATAGTATCTTAACGTGAAGAGAGGCAGAGGAAGACCGAAGTTGACTTGGGTAGAGGTAATAAAAGGAGACTTGAAAGGATGGAATATACCCAAAGACTTAGCCTTAGATAGGAGTGCTTGGAAAATAGCTATTCACGTGCCTGAACCTTGATTGCTTCTGCTGGGTTTCAACTCTAGCATACCCCAACTTGTTTGGGACTTAAAGGCTTTGTTGTTGTTGTTGTTGTTGTATCTTAGGCATACCATAGAAACTATCTACAAACTTGGTATCTCAAACATTTTGATAAATACCAGCATCCTTGAAAAGATCCATATGCTAAATATATCCCATGCTTTATTGCTCATCAGAGATGGGAGTGCATATTTATGATCTACCAAAGATCCTTTTGTCACATTTCTCGCTAAGACATTCAATTATTCAGAAATCATGCTTGGTGATGAGTATCAGTCATTTGTTCTACTATCCAATTTTGTTGATTCTATAGGTATACTAAACTGGTGTCACATTTTCCGCAGGTGTAAGGGCTGATGAAGCTCATGGAAGGGGATCACATTGCACCATTCAACCTCGGTAATCCTGGAGAATTCACCATGCTGGAGCTGGCCAAGGTGGTTCAGGACACCATCGACCCAGACGCGTGCATCGAGTTCCGTCCAAACACTGCAGACGATCCGCACAAGCGCAAGCCTGACATCAGCCGCGCAAAAGAGCTCCTTGGCTGGGAGCCCAAGGTTCCCCTTCGTGAGGGTCTTCCCCGCATGGTCACTGACTTCCGCAAACGTATCTTCGGGGACCAGGGAGAATCCACTGAGGCAGCTGGTGGCCTTTCTTAGTCCTCAATCAACTTCTTAAAGTGACACGTTTGTTCAGTTTGTATGATCACTTGATACAAAAGGGGGCGGGAGCAAGATCTGGACAGTTTTGGTGGTATGCTCTTCAGTTGCTCTATACAACACGGACAAAAAGGTCATGGCTGCATACGTAGTTCTTATATATAGGAATATACAAATGTTTGTTACCAAGTACGAAAATATCCTGGCACTACTGTACTGCTGTTCTTTACTAATTTGGATGTATGCTATGCTATGTAACAACGTACTTTTTGTAATGGCATTGTTAACAGATTATCCGGAATGCTAATAACATCTCAAGGTCATAGCGTTATAAGCTTACATATATTTGAGCATGAGTTTCAATCTGCAACGGAACAAAAGATTGAGCAAATGTTCACAGCAATGGAGGGAAGGGAATGATTGATCATACATAACTTTGACGAGCATATTAAGACCTTTATATATTACAAATTTGCACATCATCACTTCCTTATTTGCCATTGTTGAAGCAGGCGCCCATCTGATCCGGGACCGGGACGGTAATTCTGTATTCACATTTCTGCATGGTGATGCGTCCTGCCGGCAAGCCCGCAGAGGAGGCCCGGGCGCCGCCGGCGAGGACGCCCTTGTGTCTGCGCTTTGCCGTCGATGGCGTCGTCACCATCGATGAACTTGGCCGGCGCTGGCACCAGCTTCCTGAAGCGGTCGTCCATGGTCCAGCTCCGGCTGCGCTGGTTGAGCCAGGAGACGATGTCGGAGAAGATGGCCTCCACGTTCTCGTTGGGCTCCCCAGCGGTGAGGCCGTGCCACATCCCGGGGTAGAGCTTGATGGTCTTGTCGGCGCTGGCAGCGCGCTCGTACAGGGCGCGGCTCACCTCCGGGTCCGTCACCGTGTCGGCCTCGCCGTGCAGCACGAAGAACGGCAGCTTCACCTGCCCAAAAACATTCAGAAAAAGTTCAGAACCGGAGTTGAGCTGCTGTGACTGACAGTTTTTTACCGTCGTCGAATAGTTTTGAATAGCCTCAGCAAACTAATGCAACATTGAGACTGAAAAAAACGTGCTCATCAGGTAAGCCTGGTGGTACCTGTGACAAGCTGTCTTCTATGAACATGCTGGTCCTGAGCATCTCCAGCGCAGTCTTGAGACGCGGCTTGTCCTGGTAGATCAGCTTGTTTCTCCTGATCTGCTTGGCATGGTAGGAGCATCATAAGAGCGTTTCTTTCAGACAAGACCATTTTGTCAAAAAGCAAGGCAGTCGTCGACGAGATAACTGACCTTTTCACGCTTGACCGGGTCCTTGAAGGCGGCGTCGATGACGTCCTGCTTGGTGGGCACGATCTTCCACTTGGGGATCACGTCCTCCACCTGCGTCAGGAGCGTGATCACCACAGGGTGTGAAAACAAACAAATTTGGTTGCATTCACCGGCGACGCAACAGGCCGGACAAGAGTTTTCAGTTCAGGCAAGCACATGCATGCATGTAACACCCCAGGCCCGCCACACGGCACATGCCCACTCTACCGAGGGGTAGGGTCTACCTACATAGCAATCCGCTTACGCTTTCGTCCTCACTTCGTACAAAACGGTTAACTAAGGGTTGCCACGTGTCCTTTTGCCTCGCTATTTAAACTGGTATGGCCGTCCCTAAGTTCCCTACCAAATCTCGGATAAACAGTGCTCCGCGATGCTACAGTGATCCCATGCACAGTGTTCGATCTACAGTATCCCCGATTGTGGTACGCGCTACCGTACTCGCGACTACAATACCCCTGCGGCCCAGCACTATTCAATTCGGCCCAGCCCGGCCCATTTAGGCGGGGATGTTACAATGCAACTGATCGTGCAGACGAAGCAGAGGATTCAGACGAGGACCCACTGACCTTGCACATCGGCGCGACGAGGACGGCGCCGTCCCAGAAGGCAGGGTCCTTCCTGTGCAGCAGTAGCGCCACCGCGCCGCCCATGGACTCGCCGTACAGGAACCGGCTCTTGCCCCGGTACTCCCCAAGCTCTGCACCAAGGCATAGGAACAGGTTCAGAGATTTATGAAAGCGATCTGATCAGGAAATAGGAATGGCAGATGGAGAAGGTCATCAACGATGCAGCCTAGGCCGTAGCTCACGGCTCACCCACCGCAGATGGACTTGAAGAAATGGCTGCAGTCGTCGACGAGGCGGCGGAAGCTGCGGATGTAGCAGCGCGCGCCCATGGACTTGCCGTGACCCTCGTAGTCCATCCCGAACACACCGTACCCGGCCGCCGCCAGCCGCACGCCGCATTCTGCACTCATCGATCGTCCACGCATTCGTATTATTGAGAAACGATGAGGATCAGTGAGTGAATATACATTATGCTGTGCTTTGCTATAATGATAAACCGTTCACTTCACACATAGACATTATTATTCAGGTTAGTTTGTCGGTACGATTTCCACTCAACTGACTAAAACAAGCCAAATGAACGAACACTACGGCGGGGTCACTTGTGTTCTCCATCTCCCTCCCATATGTTAAATCTAAACTACAACCTGACCCCAAGCATTTGTACAGTCTCTAACTGGAACTTGTGCTGTGCTTTGCTGCAGAACATTTCCAATCCCAGAAAGTTGCAATGCCAAGGGGAGTTGGGAGCCTTGAAAACAAGCATCCTAAACATAGCAATAGGGAAGAAGGTGGAGGAGGCCTAAATTCTTGATTGACAACGCCTTCAATCCACTATAAATGAGGCCTGTCCACCCTACAAGTACTCCATATGTTCGGCCATTCCCGCCATTGCTGTGCTGTTGTGTGCATCCATCATCACTGCAACGACCTCCACGCAGTTAAGGCTCGATCGGCGCCATCAAGATGACCTGCACGAAGCCTTGGGGCCGGTGGTGGTGGCTAGCCACCGCTCTATACGATGCTCTGATGAGGCCATCGTCGATCATGATGAGCTTCTAGAAGTTCTCGTTCTTCAAGAGTCTAAATGCCTAACCTTTCGATATATATATACTATACGATTATTAAAACCAGAAGAACTTCGATGTTACCAAGTACTATGCCCGTCCAACTGAGTTCCATGTATCAACCAAATCCATGCAGAAAATGAGGTTACGTTGACAAAGCAGGCGATACGATATATGTACTTCAATCATCACCTCATCAAAACATAAAAAGAGGAGAAATATTCTACGTACAATCCAGATATACTAACAGACAAAACTCAAGCACACATGCTTGGTTTAGAGAATCTTTAATATTTCTGTATGGTTTTACAATTTTCAGTTAGGTTGGGTGTACATTATTAGGGATTTGCAATACAAGTACTGATGAGTGGTGACTAGTGACCACTGACCACCATCCACCAGTCCACCACACGGCTACTAGCCCTCATATAGCGCCTGAACCAAGTACTCCTACACACGAAGCAGGCGCTTATTGCGTGGGTGATGGCAACCCGGCCGGGCTGGGCGGTGGTGGTTGGTCGGGGGCAGCTCACCCGTCCAAGCGCCCCCTCTCGCCGGCGACGTACGGCGGCCAGATCGGTGGTCGTGTTACAAGTACGGCGATCATATCGGCGAGAAAAGAAAATGGTGTAGGTTTGGTGCATGTTGGTCTGGGGCAGCTCACCATGTTCGCTTTGCTTGATCGTTTTTGTGGTTTATAAGTCGGCTGATGCTGTTTTGTTGTGAGAGAAAAACACTGTATCATAACTAATAAGCATGGCTGATACGATCAAGCGAACAGGTGCAAGCGAACAGGTGGAACCTCTAGGGAAAGTGGCCGGCGAAAGCTCCGGCGAGAAGCAAGCGTCGTCGTCAGGTCGATCAGGATTCAGGACGTGATATGTATGCCAAACGTACAAGTAATCGAGCAGCATGTTAATTATTTGCAGTCAGTTAGTGTTATCAGTGTAGTAAGGCAATCCGAGGTTTTTGCCACCCAACTGTGAATGAATTCATTAATTAAGGAGCTTGACAAGTGTGAACAGCTAGGCAATGCATGGCCGTTCCAGAACACGAGCACGTGCAACGCATTGTCTCCGTCTCACTGTTAAATGCTACCCATGCATGAAGCAACTCGGCCGAAATGAAGGCCCGGCCGGCGAAAAAGGAAAAGGAAAGTGAAGGAAAATCAACCAACAACCAGTCGCCCACCGCAATGCGCGGAGCAGACGGCTCCTCTCATTCGACCTCCATGTCCACTCCACGGCCGCCGCGCCCCGTCGAGGCGTGCGTGACAAGGGGTGAAGAGATCGAGAAGAAGGGCTGCCCTGCAGGTGCTGCTGGTGAGGCTCGTGCGAGCCAAGAAGAACCGAGGTGAAGCGTCTGATTTTTGTAATAAAAGTTGGGGGTGCACAGGCACGGCAAGCAAGGGCACTGCATTTACGGGCGCAGGACCCCCGCCCTTCTGGATTCGGACTTGGGACGCGGCTGCAGCTCCGACCGTTCCTGCGGTGGGACACGGAGAGGAGTTGGTAGCGGACGGGCTACTAGACGAGACGGCTGTTCGGTATGCATTGCATTGGGCTGTCCTGGGGTGGGACACTGCCTCGGACCCCAGGCCGGCAGGCCTACCGAATCGTACACAGTACTACCTCCCTCTAAAAAAGAATACAAGTAGCACAGTATGACGTTTTACTACCTTAAATATGACCAATTATAAATAAAAAAATATTCATGTTTATAATACCAAATAAATACCATCAGATTAATTACGAAATATATTTTCATAATAAATTAATTTAAAGCCATAAATGTAAATATTGTTCACTAAAAAACTTGATCAAATTAAACTACTTTTCGTGGCACGCAACCCATAGTTACATTCTTTTCATAACAGAGTACATGATACACGAATGAACACCACATTCACACGCCTAAGTGTATGTTAGGCCCTGTTTGAATCCCTATAGATAATAGTTATCGGCCAATAGTTATCACTTTTGGATCCAAACATTCGCAACTAATAAAATAGATAATTTTTATCTGGATCTCTAGATAGTAACTATCTCACTAATTGGATCATATCAGATAATAACAGCTAATAGTTATCTTAATAGCATTTTTCATTAGCTATGCATCCAAACACCCTCCAGCTAACGAGTAGCTAATAGTTAGCTAGCTAATATTAGATATGAGCTATTAGCCAGCCGGCTAACTGTTAGCAAATAATGAATCAAAACATTGCCTAAAGTATGGAACATGCATGTACCTAATCAACAAAAAGGTTCTAAAATAATTTACACTGAGTACCATTCGGAGGCACCTCAATCACTCTTATCTGATCAGAGTGTCCAAACTGCCCATCGTTCGTCCATCTGGCAACAAAATCAACAATTATGAAACGACGCAAACACATCAGTATCAAACGCCTTGGGTTACATATATCAATGCTATATATGCATGACCCTGTTATCTTTTCTTCTAGAGAAACTGCACAGCTGCTAGCAAAAAAAGGAGTTAGCAAAAGGTCACACCAAGTCCAATGGTTCACTAAACCATGCCATCTAGCAGAATGATTTTATTCTCTCGACAAGAATTGCAATGAAGTCAGATTTTGATCTGGGCCAGAGGAGTAACAGGGTAACAGCTTCACTGAGTCCATGACACTCGGGTAATATTTGCAGTGATGTAAATTCCCAGCAATAAGTTAACAACTCCAAACTGCACAGGCTGATAATTGATGAACCTCAGCTTATGGCTCCTCATGCAAAAATGACCAAGGCCCCGATTTCCATTGCAACCTGAGTTTTTTTCCCCCAGTGAGTTCACTAATTAATATCAGAGCATAACAGAGCATGCATTGCATCAACTAAAAAAGCATAGATGTCAGTCAGGGTGTTTATTTAATAAGCAGCTCCAAAAATGCGCCTTTTTACCAGCCAAAGCGTCATGTTCGTCAAAAGAAGAAACTCTATGTGCTGCCAGGTGCCAGTTGGTACAAAGCACATGGCGTAAATTTCACCTATCTAGCTGAAGCTAAGAAAAGTGACACAAACAGTGAGGATCTCTGAAAGATCACAGAAAAACGATGCTTCCTGGCATTGATGTAATCTGTTCCTGATGATCAGCAAACATGTTCACAAATGAAGTCATGATGACAAGTGGAAGATCTAACCAGTATGAGTAGCAGTAAAAGTCTTTAACATCTATTAATGTCAATTTTACTGTTAAGCCACATCAATCTTATGAAATTACAGAACATCATATTATGATTTTTTATTATAAAATAGATTAATAGAATGGAAAAAAATGCAGGATCACAAATGCATTGTGCGAGGTACAAGGTAGAATAATAAACACAATCACCTCAGAACACCTGCAGCCATACGCAACCCCATGAGTGTAGTCAAACCAGCCCAAACTCCAGCCAGGCCAAATACAGACGGAGCCCATAACAGGACGAGTGAAGACATAACACCAACCACAATCTATAGAAAGAAAAATACAGAAATCAATAAACAATTGAAAAACAAAGGCTACGAAAAAGCTGGAGGACTAGTTAACATACAGTAGCTTGAGCAACATAGTCAAAATCTGATACACCATAGTGTAGACCGTCAAAGATGAAGGCCAGAGCATTAATTGGTTGACTGGCACAGACAAACTGAAACGAAATTTAACATTAGAAAATGACATAAATGACACAGAAATTAGCAGTAATGTTGGAGGATTTACCAATGCACAAGATTTGACAACCATTAGGACCTCTGGGTCACTGGTAAAAAGTCTAGCTATATTGCCAAATGAGGCATACAATCCAATGGCCAAAGCTAATCCACTAAAGACTCCTATCTGGAAGAGAGAAAAACATACAAAAAATAGTGAAAACGTGCATCCATATGCATAAATTAAACTTTAAATAAAAAGAAGTGAAATACATTTCACCTGCAATGCAAACATTGCTATCTTTTGAACCCTTTTGTAGTCCAATATTGCATAAGAGCTTGCTATCAGCGCCTAAAAGAAGAAGAAAAGTTAGTTGTACTATAACTGATAGATCATGATCAGATCATCAAGCTAGAACAATCTCAGTATATAACAGTATGTTCTAAAAGTTTGCAGGCTCTGCATATAGTATAGTTGACCAGCAGAGTTTAGGGAAACCAATTTTAACGGGAGGATGACTTCTAGAACCGAACATACATACCTGGGCAGAAACAGCTAAAGCATCTGCAAGCAAAGATACAGCAAGCCATACTTGCAAACAAATCTGATGAGCGGCCATCGCTGTTGGGCCTTGCCAAGCAGCCATTGATGTACCAATGGTCATAGTTAACAGAATTGAAAGAGTTCTTCCCAACAGCATGCCACCTACATATCCAAGGATACATAGATGATAAGTAAAGATGCCAAAACAATAAGGAAAATAAGAAGAAAATAGGAAAACAGAACATGAGTGTATTAGTGCCCAGAAGGTTGACATGAGATCTCAAAGGACTGTATGCTGTAGGCATGGATTTTTACAACTTACTTTTTTTTCTCAAACGCGCAAGAGAGCTGTGCATCATTGTATTAAGAAAAGAGGAGCTAAGAAGACTCATACAAGCCCACTAGAGCAAGGTTCAAAAAAATAAGAGAAAAAAATGCCAAAAAAAAAAAACTTGACCAGCAACCTAACAACAAAATCATTGCCAAATGCTTCTAAGGTCTTTTGCACCCCCATAAACTATAGATTAGCCTCACATGATTTTTACCACTTACGGCAAACTTTATGGTGTTTGGAAAAACTGGTTCTCTTTTTCCCTAATTGAATTAATCAGATCCATAAATATTCCTCCTAGAAACAGATAACTAATTTAAAATGACACAATGCCCATATGTTAGCTAATGATTCACTGATGGTGAAGATATACAAGTGGCTAGAGAATGATGAATTCATAAAGGACAATGTGGGCTTTAGCAAGAAGCCTAGAACATTCAGTGCCCTTTTTCTGCTTTTCAGAGTTGTGTTGGACCAAATTAAATGCATCATGCTAGCAGAAATGGAATTATCAATGGGTCAAACTTCTAAATTAAGCAAAATAGCTCAAAGCTCCAAGCAAGAAAGATCCAAACTCTGACAAACCAGACAATGAGTATACCAAAGATGCTACAAAAGCCGGTAAAAACGCATTACGAAGAAGTTTCATATAGAATGCACGACAAATCCACAACTGAACAAAAAATTAACTAGTCGAGTGGCTGCATCAGACATTCACCAGATTTTAGATATCCACAAAACTCTAACTGATCTATTCCCGGAGGAAGCAAAACAGCTTTTTTACTTAGAGACCGAAGAACAAGAACTGTAATAATGTACCTGCATCGTGAATGGAAACGTTGTTAGACAAACTCAAATTGTAACTAGCAAAAGTTCTGTCAGTGATCCAAATTTATGACTGCATAGTACCACTGATAGGAACTTACTGGGACACAACTGTAGAAATTGCAGCACCAGTTATGCCAAGCTGAAAGCCATATATAAGTAGAGGAAGAAGGGCTACAGCGGAAAGATTGCCCAAACCTATAGGGTATGAAAATGATACAGGAATCATGAAGTGGAAGAATACAGGGATTTGGCACCAAACAGTATGGAAGAATAAAGTTCAAATAAAACTTTGCAAATAAACAGCATCCACATTTAAAGCATAAAAAGGAATAACATGATTTACAATACTGAGAATGGAACATTATAAGAAATTCTTTTTTTTCTCGAACAACACAAGAGATCTGCATGTCATTCCATTATAAGAAGGAAAAGAGGTACAAACTATATACAGAAAAGGGAGAGGCTAAAGGAAGCCCCTCCCAACACAACGACACACACGAGACTACAAAAAGATGTGCCAAGCTAAGGGACACAAACACGACCACAACCAGCCCACCTGCAACCACCCTCAAGGGTCAGGGCCTAGCGACCTAAAGAGGAGCTCGTGGAAGGCCGAGGCGCCAGCCAATCCACAGGCTGCTTTTATTAGCCACTGTGAGAAGGAGAGTCTGAATGTTTGGTCCAGCACCTTCAAAGACAATGGCGTTCCTATGTTTCCATATCTCCCAGGCAACAAGAATGATTAGAGAGTTAAGGCCTTGTGCATCTCCTTACGGAGACCTCTAATAGCACTGCCCCACCACTGGGAGAATCATAAGATATTCCACAGCACAATAGACAGAACTACTCAGAATATCAGGTAAGAATGGTTAAAAAAAAAGTCAACCAAAACAAGGAACTTGGCTACATGGAAACTCGCTGTTACTTGCATCAAAACGTACTTCGCAGTGCTCATGTGCTAATATAAAAATGAGAAAATTGCAAAAGCCACTCCACGCCAATTTGGTTTTGAGAACACCCCCCCCTGGGCATTTTGTTGCAAAGGCCCACCACCCTTACCCGGATCAATGTAAAAAAAAAAAACAACCCGCCATGCATGCGTTCAGCTGATTCCGCCTGTTTTTTGTCAACACAGAGCCAGTACAGGCCAAGGTAGCTGAGTCAACCATGAGTGGAATCGACCGAGCATGGGCATGGTGGGGTGGTTTTTGCAATGGGGCCAAGTGCAGGGGTGGGCTTTTGCTACAACACCTTTTGGGGAGATATCAAAATCAGAGTGACATATGAGGTGGCTTTAGCAATTTTCCAATAGAAAAAAGGGGAAAGCTGATGAAATTGCAATATATAGTATTTCTTGGTAGTTACCTATATAAAACACCGGAGTCTTTGTATCCTTGAATCCCCGAAAGATACCTTGGACTGCCAACATAATCACATTTGCAGGTGCTCCGAGAGCTCTCAATGAAAGAAAGAGTTTCGCAGGTCTATACATTGGAGAGACCTGTATAAATACTAATATGAGATATCTAGAACTGCAACAGGTGCAAAATTACTTATTTTTGTATTCAGTTAAAGAGTCATTGCCAATAATGTAGTAGAAGAGGCAAAATAAAATGTTCCTCCCTATAACACGAAGTGAAAACATGAAAACAAGAATCATAATTTAAACATACAGGTGACACGCCCATTAGTTTAAGAAACAATCCTGATCCTAGGAACAATGCTAATGCTTCCATTATACCAATTCCAGCAGCTAAGATCAGGGCAGATGATACAGATGTCAGCTCCAATTTGCCTGCAATGATATCAGACAGCAGATACAAACCCTGAATTATAAAGCAAGCACATAAAAGACACGTAACTATATGTGAGGTTAAAAAAATCGGCATTTATCTGACGATTCAGCTACCTGAACTAGGATGCTTGGTAGCACTCCTAGAAATATCCTCTGCCACAAATGAGGTTGCAATGCTCAACAGTGGAATGTTGAAGATCTTTGACACAATATTAAAAATTGATATACCAATACCAGCCGATGCCAATTCCAATGCACCTTTCAGAAAATATGCAAAAGGTGAGAAAGGGAAGAAGTAACAGATGCTTTCATGCAGTAAGTAAAGAGTACAAAACATTTTTCCAGTTGGACAGGCCAGTGTGTAGGGTATTCTTTAACATGCCTAGGTTCTGCAGGGAGAGCCCCCGAGCCTTCGCACGGAGCGAGAGGGCGGTCAGGAGTTCCCCTGGCTTTCTATGCGACCCTCGCGCATCCTTTTCACTCGGAAGGAGGGGTTGTTTGCCGAGCCCCTTCGAGTGCGAGCCTAGGTTGCTGGGTCTCGGCATGGTTTGCAGGGAGAGCCCCCGAGCCTCCGCATGGAGCGAGAGGTCGGTCAGGAGTTCCCCTGGCTTTTTATGCGACCCTCGCGCATCCTTTTCGCTCGGAAGGAGGGGTGTGTTTGCCGAGCCCCCTCGAGTGCGAGCCTAGGTCGCTGGGTCTCGGCAAGGTTTGCAGGGAGAGCCCCCGAGCCTCCGCACGAAGCGAGAGGGCGGTCAGGAGTTCCCCTGGCTTTTTATGCGACCCTCGCGCATCCTTTTCGCTCGGAAGGAGGGGTGGAATATGCTAGGCTACCCTCGGTGGGCGCCAGCGGTGACACTTCCGGTGAGCTGCTATCGGGTAAGTCCGAGTGGAGGCCCATGCCCCATTCGATAGGGGTCGGCTAGTGGTCCAGAGACGCACCCCAAAAGTACCAGAGGGCTTCTCTAGTGGGTCCCAGGGCCGTTCGATTGGCCCCGGGGGCTCGGCGCCTCCCTACGATGGGATCCCATTCAGAGAACTCCCTGCTGGTCTCAGACACGACTTAGGGCATCCCGAGCGATCGCTTGCTCGGGCCTCGGCCATGTACGGGCTTGCCCATAGCTGTCCCTGACTCTGTTGTCCTGGGGCGGCTGTCGAAACCCTCGGGGGTCCAGCCTTCGAACCCCTGGACCGTAACGGGCTCGGCGTCCAGTTCCTTAGTCTGGAACGAATCGGCTGGGGGAATATTCCCCTCCCATCGGCTGACAATGGCAGGCGCGCCTTTTGAGGCGGTTTCTCGGGACTTGTTGTTGCTGCGGTTAGAAGCAACGCGGTGTCAGCGGTTAGGACATAACCGTTCGTGCGATTAATGAGGAAAAGGCGGGCGCGTGGGCGGTGAAATCGGATCTGGATTAACTGTGCTTGGACTCGAGGGAGACTTCCCCGATTTCATCGCCTGGCCGTTTCATCCTTTCCCTGCATAAATACGAAACGAGTCTCGCCCCTCCCCTCCCCTTTCCCGTACTTGCCTTTTCTGCCTTCGAGACGTTGCCAAGAACAGAGAGCGCCGGGGAGAAGAAGGGAGAAGAGCGACCGAGAGAGAGAGACTTACCGCCGTAGCCCCCATTCCCCATCACGCAATGGCCGGTGGCCCTCCTGTCATCCTCCCGGCGGATCCTTGGGAGCCGTCCGACATGTCCGTGGAGGTGCTACAATCGCTCGTCGACGACGGCCTTCTCCGCCCAGTCACTGACCCCGATAGGCCGGAGTGGATCGCCCCGTTGGGCGAGCCAGAGCCGAGGCCGCGCGAAGGGTACGTCGTGAGCTTCGTATCTTTCCATGAGCGTGGTCTCGGCGTGCCGGCGGACCGATTCATGTGGGCGCTCCCGCATTACTACGGGGTGGAGCTACGCAACTTCAACCCCAACTCTATCGCGCAGGCGGCTATTTTCGTCGCCGTCTGCGAGGGGTATCTGGGGATTGCCCCCCATTGGGAGCTGTGGCTCCATCTCTTCCGAGCAGGGCACACCACCAAGCCAGCGGGTACGGTGGGTACGAGGAAGATGGTGAGGGCCGGTGGCTGCACTCTCCAGGTGCGCCAAGATTGGCAGCACCTTTACATCTCGGCCTAGCTCACGTCGTCCAATCGCCGCTGGTACACCAGTTGGTTCTACCTCCGCAACGACGACGACGGACTGCCCCCCTACACCGGGCGGATCGTGGAGGACTGTCCGGAGAAGTGGAGGTATGGTGTGCCGAGGGAGGAACAGCCCAAGCTGCAGCCGCTCCTGGATGGGCTGGAGAGGCTGCGGAGCCGCTGTCTTACGGCGGCTGTGGTCGTGGCGGCCTTCCACCACCGGAGGTGTTGCCGCTGATGGCTTGGCGGCGGCGCCTGTTCGATATGAGACCGGGTGAGCTGATCGAGGGCGTCCGGATGTCTGCCGCCGCCCTCTCCGATGAGGTGGTTCTCTGTCGGGTGCGGGAGACGGTGGATGGGAAACTGAAGAGCGGTGGTCTGACCCACATCGTCATGCGCCCGTCGTAGGGGTATCTCTCCCTGGTAAGTCATATGCCGCTGCAGCTCCCAAGGTCTCCTCGTTCCTCGCCGTTTTTCCGTCTTCTTACTTGCGTTCGCCGTTCCTATAGGGGATAAGGGACGTGCGAGACTCCCCGCCACCCGTTCCTGAGGACGCAAGGCGGCGGGCGGCAAACCGAGCATATGCCGAGGCACAGAAGAAGAAGGACGCCAAGGAGGCAAGGCGCAACAAGAAGATACTTGAGCGCGAAGCGCGGGAGAAACGTCGCCAGCGTCAGAGGCAGGACGGTCTCCCGGTGGAGTTGTCTCCGTCTCCGTCGCTATCGGAGGATTCTGAAGTTGACGGGTTCGAGAGGGGGCAGGGCCCCCTGGACCATCTCCCCGATGTCGGGGAGGCAACGATCGGGGCGTCGGCGAGTAGCCCGGCGCTTCTAGGGGGAGGAGGAGATGGCGCCCCGGGGTCAGCAATCGCTCACCCCGCGTCCGAAGCTGATACGCCCGAGCTACGGGCACTGGGGAAGTGTGTCGTCAGCCCAGTGGGCTCGACGGTACTGGTGGAGCAGGCGGCAGTGGGGGCAACACAACTACCCCCGTGGAGGGTCGAGGGGGTGCCGGAGTTCGACGAGGGTCGGCTGGCACCAGTGGATATCGGGGTCGTGCCTCCGCCACCACCGCCGCCGTTGCAGAGGAGAGTCGCGGTGCCGAAGCGGCTGCAACCCCGCTCGAGGTGAGTGTTTTTTCAGCGACGTTCGCATCGTCTCCTGCTTGCTTCATGGTCATATGCTGTCCAAGTGGGTGTTTTGTCTTCAGTCGGAAGCGTCGGGTGGAGGTGCCAGCCTTGGCGCCGCGCAAGGCACTCAAAGTGAGCGCTAGTCCCACTGCTCAACAGGCAGCAGAGGCGCAAGCCGCCGTGCAGCGTGGTGCAGCGTCGGCCGGGGCCGACCTGGAGGGGCCGGTCGTTCAGGAAGAGGCTCCTGGGGCGGCCACGGAGCAGACGGAGGAGGAAGGGCCTACGCCGCGCGTTGTCGAGGCCCACAAGTCTGATGGGGCCGGGGCGCCCCCAGTTGCCGAGGCCGGGAGCAAAGCCGAGGCCCCTGGGACTTCTGAGGCCGAGGTGGTTGAGGCGAGTGCGGTGGACCCGGCGGTCTAGGGTTCGGAGATGGAGGTGGGGCAACCTTTGGTGTGGCTCCTGGCCCAAGACCTGCCGCCGCAGTAGGAAAGCGCCCGGGAGGTTCAGGCGACCTCTCCTGCGAATACTTCTCGGGGGAAGGAGGCGGAGGATGCCGAGGCGGCCAGCTCCGCCGAGCAGCCAGTTTCGGCTTTTGGTGAGGGAGACTCGGCCCTTGCGCGGGTACGACCCGAGCCCCACGGGTGGAATCACCCGCGTGTATCGTGGTTGAGCCGGGACGACCCGGAGGGGGAGCCTCTATTCGCCCTCGAGGATGCGGTCGACGGGGGGGGGGGCGCTGGAGCTCCTTCGAGCAATATCGCCGGCTGGCGGTGCAGTCGCTGCGAACGACACTGTCTGTCATGGATGATGATCTGCTCGGCGTCGCCCAGGTACGCGTCTTCTTTTATCGTGCGGTGTCGTCTTGTTCTGAGTCTTTTTGCAATGCATGACCCCTGTTCTACCTATCCAGGAGCTCGAGGCCCGGTCTCTCGGGAAGTCGTTGTTCCTCCGTCCGGAGAGGGACGTGTGGGACCAGCTCGGGCAGCAGAAGGACCTGCTCGCCAACACCAACAGGCTCCTGTCGGCGCGGAGCGCGGAGGTGGAGGACCTCCGCCTTCGCTGTGCAGATATGAAGGCCGGGTGCTGCAGCTGAAGCCCAGAGAGAGGGTCGAAGGGAGGCCTGTGCCTTTCAACTCCTCGATTGTGTCCACCCTGGTATGCTCCCTTGTCTTTAGCCCACGTGTCTTCCTCTGCTTTTCCTATATGTATATTTTTTTGATTGGGAGTCCCACGTTTCGCAGGGGCTTGGAAATTACAAGTCCTGGCCACACCTTCCTAAGGGTCCAGAGGGCATGGCCAAGCAGGCCGCTTAGAAGGAGGCGGCAGACGCCAGGAAGAAGAAGAAGGCTGAGGTCGCCCACCGAAAGCACAAGAAGGAGGAGGTTGCTCGGCGCGTGAAGGCTGGGGAGAGGAAGAGCGACATCGAGGCCGAGCTCGAGTTGGAGGACCCCATGGATGTGGACGACATGGTTTTCTCCGAGGAGGAGGGAAGTCGGGAGGTCGTTGTGACCTCGGCAGAGCATCACGACCCTACGGCAACGCCTGCTAGTGATGAGCAGGAGGCCGCACGGCTCGCGGTGGCTTCCGCACCGAGGAAGCGCGTGGTGAGCGTAGATGCCGTCGGCAAACGGGCAGCAAAGTGGACACGGTCACCGCGCCCTTTGGTGGTGTCGTTGGTCCCGTCGCCGCCTGTGGGGAATGCGGCCGAGAAAGTCGGGCGGTCCGAGGAGTGGACTGGCACTTGCGCGTCGTCGGGACCGGTGCCAACGCGTGACTCGCAACCGGGGGAGGCCCCACCTGCCGTGGATGCGGTCGAGCAAGATAGGCGGTCTGAGGAGCAGACTGGCGCCCTTGCATCGCCCAACTTGCAACCGGAGGGAGAGGGTCTTGCCTTTAGAGTCATACCGTTCGCCTCCCGGTACATTTTTTACTTTGTTTCTTTCCAATCTTTTGCTGTTGGGTTTTTCTTTGGAGTGCGACTTACCTGCGCCCTCT